TTATACTTTTTATTAAATGTTTTTAATTTTAAATATGACTATATGTTATCTCACAATGAGTATCAAAGATACACATTTTATTATATTATTATAAGCTAGGTTACAAACATTGGTACCGATGACTTTTTGTATTCTGTTTTCATTTTTTATGCTACTATACTTTCGTCATTTATATTATTTTGAACATTATGGTTAACCAATATTAACCATTAACCAAAACCGTTAACCGACAAAAACCATTAACCATAACCAATACTAACCATACCTAATGGTTACAAAAATGCATTAACCAATCATAATGGTTATGGTTCGGTTTTGACCAATAACCGAACCAAACCGCCCCATACACACCCTAAACAAAATGCTCCAGAACCCTCCACATGGGTGGTGGACAATTTTGGAGGGGATATTCTAGGTTTTCTAGCATATCCCATGTAAATAAATAAGGAGTTGGATAATTACCAATTTAAAATATTATTAGTATATTCAAGTTAGGGTTATTCAAGATTCCTTGTGCCACTATATATGAAATATCCCAAAAATAAAACCATATATATGTTCGTTTTTTAAATAAATAAATCGTTAATACATATCATTTCCATGAAACCAAAGTAATCCAGATAGACATGGCAATCCGTGTCTATGTGTCATGTATTTGTGTCAGATACGAAGTTACATGACACGAATGTGTTAAACACGAACACGACACGAATTATAAAACGTGTTTGGGGTATCAAAGATGAACACAACACGTAAAAAATTTGCGTGACACGTGACACGACACAAATAGACATATTTTTTAGCCGTGTTACACGAAAACACACGAATAGACACGTTTTTAATGACTTTTTAAGCTACGCTATAAATGAATTATTGACTTTTATGAAATTGATCCATAATATTGTAACATCCGGATTTTTAGGGTTACTATTGTGTATGTTAATCTGATATTTAAGGAGAGACTCAATGAGTTGAGGGTCTAACTCACCGATTCGAGTCGAGTTGCTTGCGTGGATTTGATTAGTGGACTCGACAAGTTAGAGAACCGACTCGCCGAGTAGGTGCTGGGCAGAGAAACCCTAATTTCTGGGGTTTGGGACCTATTTAAAGGCACTTATAGTCTTATTTGCGGCTACACACTACTAGAAAAACAGCCTTTTACGACGCGCAAACCACGACGCTCATTGATTTATGTTACGCAAAAGAGAGTGACATTAAAAAAGTGTCATCTCTTCAAAAAATTGAAGGATTTACGTCACACATTACTACGTGCCATTAAATTAGTGTCTCATGTAAAAAAACTTAAAAACACGGAGGGCACTTTATTTAAAACGTGTGTCCTCTGTGAATGTCGCTTTATGTTTTTTAATTAAAATGCGTATTCTTGAGGAGATCCTCTTAAAATTCTAAAATTTTTAAATACCCCGCTTCAGATCTCCCTTCGTTCTCTTCTTTTCTTCTCTCAGCAAACCCTAATCACAATACCATCTCTGCTATAAACCTCGACAACTCATATAATTGTTCTATAATTTTTTTCTTAAAAACTCGCGTTCATTCCTGAAGATCACAAAATCGAGACCAGCAACTAGGGATTTTGTATGTGCTCCCAAAGACGAACGTCGCAGAACTAGCAATTAGGGTTCTGCGAATCCTCATGCTTACAACCGGAGATATAGTGTTTCTCATCCTCTCCTCTTCCCTTCTACCCTACTTTCCGACAATATAATTGTTAAGAATCATTTTGGGTTTGTTAATTGGTAAGAAACATTTTGTCCGAAAAAATTAAAACCCCTTTTCGATCGATCCTCTCTCAGTATCCCTTGTTCCCTCTACTGATACCTTTAATCAAACCCTTAGCTTCCCAAAACAACCCTAAAGCCCCCCACATGATAACTAGGGTTTTTTCACGTCAACATTCTCCAGACGATCGAGGTAGAGTACGACTGCAACACTTCATCTCACCGGCCTGCGGCCTCATCAGGCTCGCCTCACTTCACCGGCGATTGCGACTCATCAGCGTCACCGTCTGGGAGACTGCATCCCGACCCTATTTTGGTCGAATCCCTTGCCTCTGATACCTTATTTTCCTCTGATACCTTATTTAGTTGAGGGCGGCGACAGTGAATGAAGTCGAGGGCGGTGATGTTCGTTGGAGACTCACTTGGAAGAAAGCAACAAGAGTCGCTGATTTGTATGATGTCGTCGACCGTGCCACAGTCCACCACCAAGATAAGTATCAACGATCCTATCTCCACACTTAAGTTTTTGGTAAAGCATTTACATATTTTCACTCCTCTTTAGTAGCACCTGAAAATCGTTTACATCATTGAGACATATTTCTTTTTTAGATCCTCATATCTTATGTGGGTTTTGTAGTTGGATGTTATTGGAATCCATGAACAACAGTTCTTTGATGATTTGTATGATTTTTGTTGTAAAGGTGCTAATAATGATGGAAAACGGTCATACTTGCAAGTGTTGATTGTCATTACTTAAGGTATATAACTAATTTCCATAGCTAAATCATTTATCATGTATTTTGTTACCTGAATCGCCAAATCTTATGTCATTAACTCATTTTTTATAAAATTGTTTTAAACACTATTAACAATTCACTAATTCTGTCTAACCATATTGTCACTAGGAATACAGGTGTTTGTCATTACTGTTGAATCTGGAATGCAAGAAATGGGTGTAAATTGTGGTGTTTTGATGATGACGAGTGAGGTGGGCTGGTTAGTATTAATACCCCCTTTTGCCTTATTAGTAGAGTATTTTTTCTGGTCAATTTATGGTCAATGCTGGAACTGATGCATGAGTTGCTACAGAAATGGTGATTACAAATACTACAATCGAATTCAATTTCCACAATTGGGGAACATTCTTTGGAGAGAGAGAGAGAGAGAGAGAGAGAGCTTCTGTGAACAAAATAGAAGGTAATTATCATTTGATTTTTCTTCTTCTTTTTGCTTCTCAACAGCTTAAGACACACACTAACAAGAGAAACAAAACTATTTTTTTCCTTACTTACATCTTCCTTATTGATCTAGATTATGTTATCTACTTGTTGGTGGGATTTCTATCAGTTTCAATTTTAATTTAAGGTGAACTGATCAAGTGCACATGAGATGTTTGATGAAATGCTCGAGTGAGTGTAGGCAATAATTTCTTTCATCTTTTGGCTGTGTAAAGATGGAGGTGGTAAGATGGGTAAGGATGGGACTAGTAATGTTGCATATACCTTTTGGCAGAAACCTGAGAGAAGGTTGTTAATATCTGTCCATGCTGAAAGAGCATTGAAGGTATAATCGCTGATTCATATTTATCACTTTATTCCTTTTCTAAGTGCTACATTTGTTTTTTTTTTCCACATCATACAGGTTCTCAGCATCTTTGATTCAAGTTATCATATCTTCAATGATATAAAAATCTCGTGTTCTCCTAGGTTAACTTAGTCCTGAAATAGCAGAACTTAAAGAAAGGCTTGTAGCCAGTAGGGCTACCCGAGTAGAGGTTTGCTAATAGTTTTACTTGGAGTTATTTAAAAAATAATATATATGTGTATATATATATATGTGTGTGTGTGTGTGTGTGTGTGCTGATTATTTTTATGGATTGGTAGATTGAAACAAGAAGAGCTGAGCTTGAAACGAATCTATCAACAAATCTTTTTAGATGGAGACAAGAACTGGAGGCAGTTCAACAGTCAACATTCTTGTACATTAGTTACAATTTCAAGTTCAATCTGGCTGGCTGGTTGGGAGTTGAGGAGATTGGTTTGTACAATTTCAAACCAAGTGTACGACCTGTGCCTCTTGAAGATCGTATACAGGAAAGTCAACTTTCTTTTCCATATGTATAAAAGTCTCAAATACAAAAGAAAATTTCAATTATTAATAATTAATCATTTCAATTTACAAGGGTACCCAAGGAAATTCTTCTGTCTAAGAATGAATAGCATGAATAAGGCAACCTCTGCTGCCATATTTACACACTCACCAACAAAACAGTTTTAATTTTTGTTTCATCTTGTCGGCAGACAAGGCTCACTGCATTCGAACTCATTCACATATTTTAAGTAATTTTTTAGAAATGACAGCTCGTGTAGATACTATTTTATTCATTAAATTTATATTTTATTTTCTTTTGCAAGGCAGTTTCTTTCCATTCCCGAGGAGGCTTTACAGATGATTGTTTTTCAGGACACTAAATAGAATCTTAGTCACACTCTACAATTCGGTTTCGGATTACATCATGCAGGATTAAACAACAAAGATAGATCTTTTGTTTAGGAAATTTTTGCAAACAACAAGATTCAGGTAGGGCTTTTACTACTTATTGAAAAATATCGTCAGTACCCTTGATTGACCTGCGCTGTAAATAAATTATATGAACGTGAGTAAATAACCATTTTACCCTTTTGTCAATGGAAGTTGAGAGCCATACCTCTATATTTATCCCTACTTCTCGTGATCTCTTAAACAACATATTTACTCTTACTATATCATCACCTAATTGCTTATGAAATATCATTTTATTTCTATTTTTATATTAGATCATATTATTTTGCTTATTCAATATGTGGAGGTCTAGTATAACGAGTATCAGTTTGTCAAAGAGGTTAATTATTGGATCAATAATATAAGTATACCATTTTAGTATTTATTATGCACAAAAAATATAAATATATAGAAAGAACTTTTTTACTAAGTTTACAAATAATAATGTTTGAAATAAAGTTTCATAAAACAATAAGTAACGATAACTTATGAATAGTTTGAAAATTACTTCAAAATAACCTTGTGATTATTTACAAAAAGAATACAGGGGAGGTGGCATATAGATTTTTTCTATATTATTCTACGTATTTTTATTTATTTATTTAAGGTGATGGCAATCAATGAGTCATCGAGGCTGTGTGCTTCAATTACAACGGAAAATGTTCATCACATTCTTCCCCCTTCTACTTCTGATAACTTTTGTGCTATGAAAAGGAAGGTATGATATTTTTCTCATATTATCATGTTGTCTTTTCAAATGTTGTTGTGAAATGCTTAACTTATGGAAGCCCAGATGAACGCCAACTTCTTGTAAACGAAATGCTTGGTTCCACTGATGAAAATGAGCCATTACAGGTCAACAACTCTCTCTCTCTCTTTTTTTTTTTTTTTTTTTTTGTAAATATAAAAAACACATTAATTGTCTTTTTGGTAATTGAGTTTGTTGTAATGCAAAACAAAACTATAGGCAATGATGAAAGCTCCTTTTGGAAATTACGTTGTCCAGAAGGTTCTAGAAACTTGTGATGACCAGACACGCGAACTTATCCTCTATATTCTTGATATTTTCCCACTTTTTAAATCTTTTATTAAATTCTAACTTTTGGATACAGAGCTTGATGAGAGAATGCGTGACCTAAATCTTTTATCAAATTCTCACTTTTAGAGGTGGCCATAAGAAAAGGTAAGCAAAGGGTAATTTGGTATTTGTTGCTGTTATTGTATATTACAATACTTCCATGTATATATGTATAAAGTTTGTTCTTATTCAGATTTACCTTTTACCATTGATTTCCTTATTGAGGCATTGTACTTTGAAAATGTTAATTCTTACCTTGTGTCCATGTAGGATCCACCAGGAACAGGAAAAACACAAACAATTCTTGGGCTTCTTAGTGCCATATTACATACCAACTTTGTCTCTTAACTTTGTAAGACATTGATTACTTGAGGGTATTTTTAGTAACATTGTAAGAGATTGATTACTTGAGGGTACTTATGGTATATAATGTTATATTCTTTTGTTAACATGGTCCTTAGTGCAATGAATTATCTTTATTGTTTATGGTATTTTATTTTGTATTATGAGACTTTTAATGTGTTATTTAATTTGAAAATTAGTAAATCTATCAAAAAAGTATTTTATTTCTATTATGAGAAATTAAATTCAAATCTAATTTAAAAATTAATAAATATATAATTTTTTTTAAACATTTAAATTTACGATACACAAAAATGTGTGTCATCTTCATTTATGACATGACCTTTCTTGACAGGGGCTTTCTTGATACGCATTGTGTGTTATTAACACGCGCGTCGTAAGGTTACGACACGCAAATGCGAGTCGTCTTCCTTTATGACAGGGCCTTCCTTGATACGCATTGCGTGTCGTAAACGCGCGTCGTAATTGCGCGTCGTAAAAGCGCGTCGTCTCTCTTTATGACAAGGCCTTCCTTGACACGCATTTGCGCGTCGTCTAAGCCTTTTACGACGCGCAATGAGCGTCGTAAAAGGCTGTTTTTCTATTAGTGACATTTCCTTGAGGTCAAACCCTAAACGTGTATAGAGAGCCATGAGAGTTTTAGAAGCTAAAACTTTGAGTAGACTAGTGCATCTCTTGGGAAGAAGAGGAAATCATCCAACAAGGGAGCTAGAGAATTGATGGATCTGGTGTAACTTCGTGCAAGGGCTTGAGTAAGATGTAAAATCTTGCACCCTTATTGTTATTTTACTTAGATCTTGTAAATATGGAAGATTAGGGTTTCTTCCACCATTGTTAGGACTTTGAATGCATAAGGTCCCTTTTGAGGCCTAGACTTCCAATCTGGACTTTGTGAGGTCCGGAGAGTCCAAAGATTATAACTTTATTTAACCATATAAGAGTTATTGTGGTTAATCATCCTTGTTAGAGTTATATTGGCATTTCGAGCCTTATATGCCATGTTTAAACGTAAAGCTTGCAACTTTATGTGACAATCGACCCTTTGGATGGTAGATCTAGTGTTTGTGGTGATGGATCTTTCTTAAATCGTTTGAATGAAGAATCTGATCGAAGGAACTCGCTGAGTCCATGGGCTGACTCGACGAGGCGGTGAGGGTTTGACCCGATGGGTTAATTGAGTGATAACTCGGTGAGTTGAGCTAGACTTTTTGAGACTTTTGAGGATACGAGGGGACTCGGCGAGTCACAAGAGTGCACTCTACGAGTCGGGTCAGTCATAGACTGTTGACTCGAGTTTGAATTCTGTTGACTTTGGGGTTTTGGTCAACATGACTAATAGAGACCATGGAGAGGTAAAATGGTCTTTTATCCACTTCAAAGAGTTAGAAAGAGAAAGAATAGTCTTCGGTTATTTGAATTGTGAAGAGAGTATTAATTAGAGATATTCATCCCTTGTGTTTGGTGGAGGCTAGTTCGAGATTGGGGTGCTGGGTTATTTACTTGCTACTTGTCAAGTGAGTCTTCTCACTATACTTTACCTAGAGTGGTATTGATGTTTGATCGGAAGGTATTATGTGCTTACTTGAGCTGTGCATTTTGTCTATGTGATATATATATATATATATATATATATATATATATATATATATATATATATATGCTATATTATGTGACCTAATCGGAGGGTCCAACGAGCTATGGGACTGGAGGGTCCCAACTAGACATGACCAAAGGGTCCAAAGAGCCGTGGGACTGGAGGGTCCCACTGAGACACATAGACTGGAGGGTCTTACAGTGTTATAGCCTTGAGTGGCTAATGTGTTGCATGGTGTATTTTGGGGAACTCACAAAGCTTTGTGCTTATTGTGTTATGTGTTTCAGGTTCGTATCAAGATCGCGGGAAGCCTCAGGCTTGATTGTACACACATCCGAGTTGGAATATGTCTTTCGAGGATCCTGGATTTGTGATAAATGATTTTTAAAATGTGTTGATAATTTGTTACTTGTGAGTTTTAAGAAAATGCGACTTATGGTTTATTGTGTTTTAAAAATGAAAATTTTGGTTGAAAATTTACGTTGTTACAAGTTGGTATCAAAGCCTTCGTTTGAGGGATTCGGATGCACCTTCGGGTAAATATGTAATCAAATTGAGGATTTGAGAAAAAAATTTCAAGGAAATGATTTTTCTAAAAACAAGCAAGAGTTTCTAAGAGAAAACAATAAGGAGCAGTGTGTACAATCAGCCAGAGCCGAAACAGTGATTTCCCAAAATACCCTACTTTTGTGTTATGAGATATTTTGTGATATTCTGAATGCAAGAGGATAGGCTAGGTATTTCATATTTTAGGACTAGAGTGGCCTGATTTGTGATGCCTTAGCCTAGGAGTTGTTGTTAGCTGTGATGTGCTTTCGAGTATGTGCTGAGTAAGAGTATCTAGCAGGAATATTTCAGAGATAGAGCTTCGAGTAGAGGAGTAATCTTGGAGATATACCTAGATAAGCATCAAAGGAGCCTACTAAGAGAGTAATTGAATACCCGCGAGGGGTGGAGTTGCTTCAGTTCGTGATACCTTTTGAGTATGAGTATAGCAAGTAGAGTTGTAACCTAGAGTGGTTATACGTGTTGGTAGAGATTATTCAATGCCCGAATGATGCTTGCTTCGTGCTTTGTGGAACTCTTGATGATTAGATTCATCTATTAAGTGAATATGACGATATTCAGGAGGTAGATGGCTGACATCATAAGGAGTTCTTTAGCAGCTGATGGCGGAGAAGTGTAAGAACCTAGGAAGATCCTAGGGAGTGACCATATTCAGATGAGTATGCTAACAAAGTTGAGCATTTCGCTAGGGAACGAACACGCGTGAGTTCTACAAGTTACCACATACCATACCTAACTTATCACATAACGAGCCCCGCCCACTGAGATACGGGCTGAAACGTCTCCAAAATAATGGCATGAAAATTTCATTCTTAAATTTATAAATCGTTAACACATATCATTTTCATGAAACCAAAGTGCTCCATAATTATCAAATCAAAGTAAACCACAGAATGTGGAAACATATGGTGTGTGCTCTGCAATCATCCCGAGCTCTTCCTTTTAAAAACGGAAGTACCTGAAACATAAACTAAAAACCGTAAGCACAAATATTAGTGAGTTCCCCAAGATAACACATACCATACATAACAAAACACATAATGGGCCCCGCCATGTCGTCGGGTCCTGCCCGGCATTGAACCCTGTCCGGCATCGGGCCCCACCCAGCATCGAGCCCCGCTCAGTATACATATATTAATCATCAGGACCTGCCTGGTATAAACATATAAACAAATAAACATATAAGCATATAACATATAAACACACAACACATGCCATAATCACTGAGGAAAATAGGATACAGACTAGTCTTCGGGCCCCGCCTGACATATACAGATAACTAGCGTACAATACACTCATCAGGCCCCGCCTAACATCGAGCCCTGCTTGGTAAAAATAAAATATATAACACATGCAAGAGTCACATAGAAAACAAGAATACTAAGCATAATAGACCATGGGCCAACATTGATACCTTCTACCCGCTAAATACAGTGAGGAGACTCACCTCGCACTGCCGAATCACACAGATGATCCCTAGTTGCTGGCTGACAGATCCCTGAACTATCAATATTCAAAACAAGACCCAATTAGCAATTGGGTTCCAAGCATGACCATAAATCCATACTTGGGGTAAAAACACCATTTTATCCCTAACCTAGCTTGGTCCAAGACCAAGGCCCAAACTCACATTCTGAAGGCCCAAAAGCCAAATAATCCACCAAGGCCCAAATATGGCACAATTTTCTAAATTAAGCCCAAACCCATTACATGGGTCTTACCCTAAAGCCCAATCAACTTTCCTAGTCCATACATTTGTTCTCAGATGGCCCGTCAAGAACCCAAACACTTAAGACACACGATTAAGGTTTTCACATAAATGACGATTAGGGTTAAGTAGGAGCACTTAACCCACTAAGGAATTAATCCATTAAGCCCAAAATTGCATTAAGTTAATTGTAGGGGCATTATTAAGTATTACTTAGAATTTAATTAACAGTTTTAACGCAGGTCCCGACAAACTCCAAAAACTAGGGTTTCTTGACATTAGGGTTTTCTAAACCCTAATTAGGGTTTCCAAACCCAAAATCGTGCCACTCGGATTAAAGTTAATTGCTTAGATAATTCAGTGCTTAGTAGGTTGGGTACCACCCACTGCCACCCCTAGTAGTGGTGGTCGGCGGCAGTCAATGGCGGTAGGAGGCGGCAACCACCATATTTATTGGTGGTGGTTTATGTTTTTTAACCCAAAACATTTTCAAAGCAGTCTGGTACACACAAACATCCATCCATTACAACGTACGCACACAACCACCTAAGGTAGCGGCTGATGGTGGTAGAACGGCGGTAGGAGGTGGTAGCCACCACCTCACAGTGGTAGTGGTGGTGGTGGGTTTCCTTCAATTCTCCGGCCAAGAAATGCTCATACAATATCATACCATTAAACACGTACATAAAAACCATAACACACAGAACACGAGCATCCAACATTAAACTCGCACCCAACTTATCCACCCTTGTGGTGCCGACAGTGGTTGGAGAGCATTAACAAGGCGAA